ATTTTTTTAAATGCGTCACTAAATTTGTCTCTAATTAGCGATACTTTTAGTGATTTTTTGAAAAAATCGTCGTCGAATGTGAGATTAGCGATGGTTTTTCAACCGTCATTAAATCCATTTTAATTTTTTTCATCTTTAATAAGAAAAATAACATTCATTCTAATTTAACAACTACAATAATATTATGAAACATATTTATAAATATTAAAAAACCTTTATAATATATAAATTTAATAAAATGAAATATATATATATATATATATATATATATATATATATATATATATATATATATATATATATATATATATATATATATATATATATATATTCAAACATAAAATTATTTTAAAGTTTATTAATATTGTAGAAAAAAGAAAACATAAAAGCGATAAAAAATTAAATTGTGATTAAGGGGATACATTTTATGACATATTATCATTTTCATCGGACGCATGATGGCTAGTCGGAGGATTGATAGATGAACTACCTCTTTGTATATTCGGTAACATTTATCGCATTGGTGTATCATCGCATGTTGCTCCCGAGTATACTTGCTCCAATCGATTTGTAGTATTTAGGAGCGATGCAACGAGTACCTTCTAGTTTCTCAATCTTTTCTCGCTTGTCTAGAAGAATGAGCCTCAATTTTCTTTTACTCGTACCTCAATATTGACATAAAACCATGATGTGACGAAACTAGAGGATGTACTAGCATTAAGGTAATAATAAGAGGCTTGTGACTCGAGTTCGTACATCATCTTTCTCTTACTATCTCTTTCTCCAACAGACCTTCTTAAAAATCTCATTTATATCAATGTCGAGCAATGAAGTACGCTCCGTCTCCCGACTAGCAACCTCCTCATTAAACATTTTTTCAATGGTCTCCTACATAATTGCATAAAATTTAATATTAAATAGTTATCATAATAAGTTATATAAAAGTGACGTACGTATGAAATAACCCTATAAATTACTTACTGCGAGAATTCTTGCTCACCGATTGATGAATACGTACTTATCATCAATCTTCTTCTTATGAGTCCTTAAGAAAACCTCGTTAGCATCGGGTTCATAACCCAACTTATTACACTAAAAAAATATACTTAAATATTTATTGATGTTGCGGTAATTATAAATAACAAATAATATATATATCTAATGAGATTTATCATGCGTATTGCGTGCTTCGTGTGGGTGATTGAACCCCTCATATGTCTAGATGGGCCGGTTTTGATACCACTCATCTTGTTTTTGTGATTTTGGACTCGCCAACTCAAATTGAGCACCGGACTCAAGTTTTGCTCATTTCTTATGCCATGCATCCCATAACTCCTATGAGATTTATGTTGGTTTGGGTTGTTTCTTTACTTGATAAAAGAAGTCGAATATTACTTTCGTGCTAGACTTTACCATACTTTCTTTATGATTATCTCAATCTCCCGCTCCTATTTAAAGGACTTGTGCAAGAACATTAAAAATGTTCATTAGTACATTTAAATGAACACTAATGTTTCTTAATTGAAATATATGGTCATATAATAAATTAAGCTAAAAACTACCTTAAAATTCCTCCAATATAACTCTTTAGTTTGCTTACTAATTGACTTCCACGTTGATCCAAAATATGTCAACATGCTCATGGAATGTCTTAAAGATATGACAAGCATAAATATGAAAGGATATAAGCTATCAAACAAGACATGAATTAATAGTTAAATGAATTGATAAATATAATAATATACCAAAAAAATATGTTAAAAAATATGCATAATACATACTCTTTACTATCAATAATAGTAATCACAATCCGAGGATCGAACATAGATCCGACGGTGTACAAGCCAAATGAGCCATGTTCGGGAACATGACAATCGTCCTATTATGGCGAAGGCTCTAATAATGATGAAGGTTCAAATGGACGGGGACATGGAGGTCTATAATAATGCGACTTAGGATGAGACATGTCAAATGGTGATAGGTTTTACACGGTGGCAAAGGAAGGGTGGTATGCAAACATATTAATAGAGGCGACATCCGACACGTAACGAAAGTAGGACTAAATCCACATCCATGGTCACCTGTCATTATTAGTGTCCGAATCATAACCCTCATCATATGACATGGGCCACTACATATGAGAATGTCTCCTACCATGAGGCATAACCTACATATTATCATAGTAATTAGTTAAAATATTGATATTAATATAAACAAGCTAAAAAAAATATTTATTTTATGATTAACAAATAATTTCATGATTAAATTAAACATGTACACACATACATACATATATTTATATGTTACCTTAATAATTTGAAGTAAATTATGGAGGATAATCAAACCTTATCGCTAATCACTATCCCGATCATCATTGTTACAGTCTTCATCAATATCTCGTTTTAAATTCAACATCATTGTCTTCATTAATTTCACTCCTTTCTAAATCTATTAACGATCAAGTTGGATCAATTAACAATCGACTTTCGTCATCATCAACTTGAATGATATTGTGTTAGGCTTTCATTTCATTTTCTTTAAACGATTTTGTAATTATTTAGGCCGTAACGAGCGATTATGACACATCCATCACCGAATGGGGTTTTATCTTACATACAACTAACTAATCACGCATGATGTGCTTCGATATAGGATATGTTGCATGATACAAATGATGCGCTTGTGTTGCTAGGATAAAAGGATCAAATTTGTTCGATGTCCTATGACTATTTACTTCTACTAGTCCGTACCGATTGTGAACTTTTGTACGAACACCGTGTGTAGTATCATACCAATCACATTTGAATAATACGATTCGCTTGATTCGAGTATATTAGTCAATCTATCATAGTAGTCATTTTCCTCCACACCATAACTAACTTCTTTTACGCACACTCTACTATACATTGTTGCTCTATTAGAACCATGACCTTTAGTGTGAAACTTTTATTTGCTCACAATGTATCTAGGATACAACTTAGCTATTTGTAATGGTCTTTTTACAAGATATTTAATGTAATGGTAGGTTATCATGTTGGGTTTGCATTAATTGCTTGTAAAGTTCAAATCTATTACTTATTGTTAGTATTAAATTTCATAATTCCATCTTAATAAAAAAAACATTCAAAATTTATGATACTCATATATCAATGGAACCATGATGCAAAATTATTTTTAAGCTAAACATCAACCTCATGCGTCGATGTGTTAGGATTACTTTGATAAAGTTCGTTTATGAAATATCTATAGAAGGAAAAAAAATTATAAGATTTTTAATATCTTTAATATAAATAATTGATAATTAATGAAGTTCAATATTGAAATTTTGCTAATTTTAGGACTTATTCGAGTGAAAGGTGTCACCTCATCATAGTTCAATAAAATGTACGTATAAGATGCGAGGTTTTTCTTCATCTCGTCAACACATGTTGCTCAAACAAAAGATTGACCTTTTGGTTTGAATATTGTAGGTATCCTTTCAATGTCATAATTTGATTCTCAAGCACACTCAAAGTTAAGTAGTATTTTTTGATGCCCGGTATAGACATGATGCTTGAAGTAATATGAACAGAATATTGATGTTTGCTCAACTAAATATCTATTGCATATTGATCCTTCAACTCTAGGTTTATTCTTTAAATTAGTTTTTTTTAGTATTGTAAAATAAATTAAATACTCTATTTTATTTTTAAAATAATTAATTGATTTTTTCATTAGTTTAGATTATTTTTAATTTTATTTTATTTTATTTTTTTCTCATCAATCTTTTATGACATTTTTAATTATTTTTCTTTTCTCTGGAAAATAAATAGAAAAATTAAAAAATAAATTAAAAATAGATTTAAGAACATAAAGATTAATTAATTATTTTTTGAAAATAAAGGGACTATTTAATTTATTTTGAGAAACCCGAGGGATTAAATTTATAATTTACTCTTGAGATGAGTTGTCAATCTCTCTAACTTGCTTGGTCAACACTATCATCATATCTATTGACTCATGGACCTCACACCTTGCAGCCCAATTTTAGAATAAATTACAAATAAGTCTTTTTAGTTTTGCAAGACAAATAAAATAGTGCATTTTGTTTACAAAACTAGCTAATTAGTTTCTTGATTAATATGGATCACGATTACTTTATATTATTTTAATCTAATTTTTGTCTTCATCTATCTTTCCATATTTTGTTCTTTTCTATTTATTAAAAAAATAAAATAAATTAAAAAAGAATTAACTTACTAATAGATTTTAAAATATAAAAATTAATTAATTAGTTATTGAAACTAGAAGAACCATTTAATTCATTTTAAAAAATTAGAGGGACTAATTTATAATTTACTCAATTTTCTTTCTGTATTCAAATTACTCCTTGCTGCCCAAGTTTTTATCATGTACACCGACTCTAATTTTCTTTCTGGATACAAAATACTCCTTGCTTCCCAAGTTTTTATCACACCGACTCTAATTTTCTTCCCGGATACAAAATACTCCTTGCTCCCCAAGTTTTTATCATGCCGACTCTATTAACCTCCTGTATAAATGGAAACAGCCAACACCTTGTCCTTCAGCATCAAGACATTTATCATTGTTCCTTCCAAATTCAAGCCCATAATCCGAAGTAAGCAAGATGAAGAGAGAGGGACGCCCTCATGGAATGGTTAGGACCCACAGGATCTTGCCATCTCCATGGAACCCTAAGGCTTTAGACAACAAATTCAACAAGTTCGATACACCTCCAACAGCCGGATTGTTCACCAAGGTCCCATCAAAGCCCACAAACCACTCCAAATTCACAGGAAAATGCAGTAAGCCTAGGTGCACAGGGTGCCACATGCACCCAACTTGCAAGTCCAAGGACAAGACCAAAGGATCCCATAAGGTAAAGTCACATGATAGGGACATGAATTGGGGCGCCGAGTACGGAGCTGCTGGGTTTTCTGCGACGGAGATGTTGGACCATTTGACTACTGACGCTGAAGTATTTTCGTAATAATTTGATCATGGCTAGTCGGGGAAATTCGTATGAAGGCCAGTCGGGAGGGGAAGAGATACTCATTCAGTGCTTGAAGATTCAAGAAATTATTGATGGTTATGTGATGATAAAAGCTATACGGTATATCAGTGCTGAAGAAGAAGATGGTGACTTTATATTTGTGTTTTTGTGATACTGGATTCTTGTTGGACCAACATAAATCTAAGTTTTAATAGATCATCAGTTCTTGAAATTATGTATCAAAGTTTGATACCTGGTGGCGGAAATGTCATTTTATTATATTATTGTAACCTCAATTATTTTTTTCTTTCTTCTATGCAAGAAATTCCCTTTTCTTCTTAGAAATTTTCTTTATTTAAATTTGATGGTCAGAATGGTTTCATCATGTTGGGATGATCAATCCCTTTCAATGCTTTTGTCTCTTTGAGAGTGACACATGGCAAAAATGAATTTGAAAGATTCAGATGTTTTTTATTATCATGTGCTCTATAACGTATATACAAATATACTTTTTAAGTCCAATTACCATATCGCCTTTATTTTACAAAGGCAAAAAAAAAAAATTGATGTTGTAAACGGCCCTTCACGTCAAACAAAAATAACCCTCGACGCCAAACAAAAACACGGTTAAGTGAAAGAGTTTCTCATGAAAAATTTAATAACGAAAATTATGTTATGATTAATACAGAATATTTTATCATTATTATGGAATATTAATTTTGTATCAAATATATCCTTGTACATATAGATAATTCTATATTTCATAACTTCATTATAGAAAATAGTTAACCTAATTAGCCTAAATTTTAGCATAATTAATTGCTAAATAGTTGTATAAATCTTTTTTGTATTCCTATATAATAAAACACATAATGATTTTTTCATATTTTCTTTATGGTATCATATTGTTGTTTATGACTTTTTTTAAAAAAAAACAATCATGATGATTGATTCTACAAATAATGATAAGAGTGGTTTGATGTACATTACGAATATATCAAATATCGTAGTTGATAGTAAATGTCATTCTATTTATATCTTTTAGAGATTTGATTTTCGTTACATAACTTAACTTTTGAGTGAGAATGAAAAAAAACTATTTTACATAAAAGAATAATTTTTTCAATGCTCTTCTATCAAAAAAATAAAGCATGGTTTGTGGATGGCTCGTTAGCCAAACTCATTATTAATTCTAAGATTTCAAGAAAAAATTTTTAGAGGAAATTTTTTTTAAAAAAAATTAATATATTAGGAATGAATGATTTTTAACTTTGAATAAAAAAATTCTCCAAAATAAGATAATTAATATATATTAAACACTGGTAGCTTGTTAGAATTCAATAGCTTTAGGCTGGTTGCGCTACCCTTTTTATAAGCTTGAAATCTTGCTGGACTTTTTCTTTTTAGAGTGTTCCCATTCTTTTTTTTTTTTTTTTTTCTGTCTTTAATGTTGGACCAATCTACATATCGATATAATGAAAGTATAACACTCGTAAAATAATAGTAAAAAAAACTTAGCTTGGTGGCTTTTCATTTACTATATCTTACTAAGCATTTCTTTTTCAAGTTGCTATATATCGATATAATAATCTGAGGTGTTGAAACATCAAACTCGGGGCATATGAAAATAAGTTACTGTATCCATTCAGTTCATTGAATAACTAGCAAAGTAGTTACTGTAATGTTCCAAGTCTTAGCAGTTTCCTAATTCTTCAGCACTATTGCTTGTCTAATCTGTTGCATTGTTTGATTGTTTGCAATATTTTAATTCTTCAGCCCTAGTGCTTGTCTAGTCTGTTTCATTGTTTGATTGTTTCTGCTATAAGTTAAATACTGTCACTAGATCATATTTTATGGTTTAGTGACAGTGAGGATGGACACTCTATCTTCGGGAACCATGTAGTTTGTCCAGAGAAGCTGTCGAATGCTTTTAGGTGGGAATTTTTAATTTTTAATTTTTACGTTGCAGTCATTCTAAGGTGAATCTGATATTTGTATTGTTCGTCTAAAATGCATGACTCACGCTGCATGAGAGTTTGTACTGGTAGAGAAGCTATAAGATGCTGAATGATCTTTTTTAAAAATCACAGAGAAAGAAAAAAATAGAATCCCAATTATCAAAAAGAAAAAGATTAATAGAACATTGTTTGTAGTTTAGGCATAAAACAAGATGAGCATAGGAGAAAGAGTTCACTACTTTGGATTGCATCGAAGATAATAAAACTGATAGGATCTAAGCTAGATCCTGCCTTGAATGCTATGAAATTATTCTGTGCTTTATTCGCTTTACGAGACCCCGATTACGTAGTTTTTTGGAGTCTAAGATACTCAGTTGTCCGAATTGAAAACTATGTCTGTTAGCATATAGTATTGACCTGGCTGCTAAATAAGCAAAATCCCTTTGGCTGATACTTTGACAAATCATGTTGAATACTCTGTAATTGCCATCAAACTGTCTGAAATGTACATGTTGAAATCTAGTTCTTGATATCTATCTTAGTTTCATTTGCAAAAATAGCAAGACTTTGTGCAAATTGCAATATATGACTTCTATGATCTATCCAAACTTGTCTATGCGGATTTTTTTTTTTTTTTTTTTGAAGTTTTTAATTGGGATGGGTTGATCTGGTTTTTGGTTGCTTTTAATTTATCTTACTTAATAAAAATTATTAATTATTATGTTATATTATTATTATTTTTTTATATTTTACTAAAAATACCGTTTGTGTTAAAAATGATTAGTTATCAAATTTAATCCTAGAGAAAATCTATCCAAATTTAAGGCATTAAATCAAAGAAAAAACCATTAAATTAATTACAAATCAAAAAATAATTATGAAAAAATAGCATACCAATGAAATATTTTACTCTCAAAATTGACATACAGTAAAGTCCTTGTAAAAATAGATATTATTCCTATAACAAAAACAATTCCTTTGAAATTTTTATGTTTGTATGTATAAGGAGAAAATGTGAAGAATATTGATTTTTTGTTAGTGAAAAATAAAAAATAGAAGAAAAAATTGATTTTTATTTTTATCAATTAGGGTATTTTAAGAAAAAAATATTGTTTAAAATTTTAATCAGGCAAATATTTTAAGATAGATATAAATAAAAATATCAATTTTTTTTTTTAAGAAATGGTAAGTATTAGTTGTCAATCTCTATAATTTGCTTGGTCCACATCAGCGTTTAAATGCTCGCCGACTTGAACACCTTCCTTGCTACCTGCCTAATTTTCTTTCTGGATGCCAAAATACTCCTTGCTCCCCAAGTTTCGATCCCACCGACTCAATTTAACTTCCTATAAACAGCCAACACATTGTCCTTCATCATCAAGACATTTATCCTTGTTCCTAGCGAATTCAAGCCCCCAATCCGAGTGGTCAAGATGAAGAGAGAGGACGCCCTCATGGAATGGTCAGGACCTACACGATCATGCCATCTCCATGCAACCCGAAGGCTTCAGACAACAGATTCAACAAGTTCGATACACCTCCAACAGCCGGATTGTTCACCAAGGTCCCATCAAAGCCCACAAACCACTCCAAATTCACCGGAAAATGCAGTAAGCCAAGGTGCATAGAGTGTCACGTGCACCCAACTCGCAAGTCCAAGGAAAAGACCAAGGGATTCCATAAGGTAAAGTCACATGATAGGGACGTGAATTGGGGCGCCGTGTACGGAGCCGCTGGGTTTTCTGTGACGGAGATGCTGGACCATTTGACTACTGACGATGAAGTATTTTCGTAATAATTTGAACATGGGTAATTGGGGAAATTCGCATGGAGGCCAGTCGTGAGGGGAGGTGATAGTGATTCAGGATTTGAAGATTCAAAAGAACTATAGATGGTGATGATGACGATAAAAGCTTTTGGTTACGATAATATCACTAATGAAAAAGAAGGATGGTGATGTTATATTTGAGTTTTTGTGATGGTGGACCAACATATCGATTCAAGGTTAATGTAATAAGATCAGTTCTTCAAACTAACAATCAAATTTGATATATATATTTGGTGGCAGAAATGTCATTTAAATATTATTTGGCTTTATTGTACTTATTGCAACGTCAATGATTTCTTTCCTTCTCCTATGAAAGAAATTCTTTATTCTCCTACCAATTTTTAGAATCTATCTCTGCAAAGACATTACAAAAATACGATTTCTGAAGCTTCATAATGAATATCTGAATTTTGACATTGGAAATCATGCAAATCTAATTCTAAACGCTTGAAAAATACTGAGTGGGCAAAGCCTAAAAGAAAATAATATTCAGGCGAATCGGGTCACAGTAGGAACCACGCCATGATGCTGGGAGACTGTCCTTAGCCAGATTCTAGTTATGGGCACAAATCCTGAGTGGGTAATTTTACACTGACTGTAACTTTGACATTCGCACAATTCCTAAATCACTTCTACTCAATATTACAACAATTGTATGCAAAAATGATTTTTCAAGCAAAAATGATTTTTCAAGCAAAAATGATTTAACCATGGCGTGTTAGTCCAAGAAAGATTATACTATTTTGACAGGAATGTTATTAAAAATAAAGAACAAAACGAAAAGGAAAATCGACCAAATCATGTTGATCAATTGTATGCAATGGATGAGGAATTGAGGACAGCAATCCTCTTAAATTTACTCCATTTCAGACCACTAACAACATCATTTCAGCAACACCTAGAAAAACATTGCATTTAAGCAGTCCAAGAACTAACCACATGGCATTTTTTGTCAAATAATTAACAATCTGGCATTCTTACCATCCCTTTTAGTGTCCACCATCACAACCACTCAATCAAGGACCTTTGAGACTACCCCCTGCCCCAACTGTTCTACCTCCTTCCAACTCGAGGCAATTCGAGTATGACCTAGACCAATTCGTTAAAAATAAGTAGTCCTCTACTAGTTCATCCATCTATATATACATATATATATATATATATCGAATTCATGACCTCATCTAGCATGTTTAGTCACCCCACATGGTGTACTAAGTATTGTAATCTTGCATGTTTAATTAGCCTTCCTTTCCCCGCCAAGATCTGATCCAAATCTTAATGGCTCAAATCATTGATCCTAGAATGATCCTCCCCTAGTTCTCCACTCTCAAGTACATTACATTAATTTTAACTTGGCTATTCATCACTTGCTTCTGTTAGTTAATTGTTCATGCTGGCCTTAACAAATATTAATTTTGGAAGTAGGCTGCTGCATTGAAAACTTGTCATAACGGATAGCTAGCCAAATTATATAATAAACTAATGTAGTAGTTTTCAAAGCTTGATGTAAGGCCAGCTCAATAGGCGTTATACAATCTATAAATATCAAAATTTTCAAAAACTCTTAATAAAATTGCTAGCTCAACTAGCATCTAGCATATCTCTTTAAATAGCTTGTGCTTAATTTATGCATCAATTTGCCTAAACACACTAGAGAATGTTAGCTTCTAAGTTAGAAATTTATGAAAACAATACTAAAAACCAAAGCATCAAAATGCTACTAATAGATGGAAAAACATAAGAACACACAATTAGTCTGCAGCATAAAGTTAGAAATCCTTAGTTGCAGAGTTGCATTGAAAGGAGAAGAGAAATACTAAGGAGTACTTCATATAGTTATCGCATATCCAATTAGCTAGACGTAACAGAAGCTCACGACCTACAGTTTCATCCCCATGGACATTTCCGATGTAGTGAAAAATTGCAAAGAAAAAAGCAGTTGCCTAGTTGCTCACTGCAAATATTACACGTTGAATATATGCATATGCCTGTAAACGGGTGAGATCATTCACCTTGAATGCAGGTTCAGGCTCTTCCTCCCCAAGCTTGTCGGAGATCTCAATGACCCACTACAGTCCTAAGATTTGCGTGTGTTCCCACCTTTCTTGATTCAATGGGCCTACGTACTGTGTAAAGTCCTTTGTTCTTAGCTGCAAAAGGACATGCATAGAGAGGAATGAATGACAAATAAAGATGCAGTGGGATTTTCTCTTTTGCTTTATTTTTCTATCAGAACAATCTCAATTATACTGACTCGATTCAACAACTCTCAAGTGGTGTTCAACAAGCAAATGAGAAGATAAAATTCAATAAGACTCCTAATAGCAGAAATACAATGAAGCAAACCTGAGAAAAATATATCATAGATAATACATTCCCGTCTACAATGAAGCCCAATTTCTTGTAAAGACCCTCTGGCTAATTAAGAAATGGAATGTTCTTTTCGCTTAAAGTGGATCATAAAGGTTCACTGTTTTTTTTTATGCAAGTTCCATCTGCAAATACAATATACATTCATAATTTGGGTGTTAAACTCAGATGATTTTCCCTTAACCAGCAATGGCACAAGTTATTTCTTAAGAAACCATAGAGAAAGGCTGAAATGCTGTCAAGGGCAGCTATGAATAAGATTCCAAAAATTACAAAAAATCCACTAATAAAACACAAAATAACTGCGAGATAAGAAATAAATGACAAAATATCTACCAAATGAGAAATTAAGCATAACAGTACTAAATGAGAGCTAGTTTAACCTTAAAAATTTGCTAATTCTTGTCAACTGAGTCAGCTTTAAAAGCTGACAGCATCAGCTCTGCTTGTTCCTGCATCAACTTTCCCCTCTGCAGGTACAAGTCCAATTCCGCTTCCCGTAGCTTCCTCCACTTCTCCTTCATCTCCGCCTTCTTCCTTCCATGGAAGAAGTTCAATCCACTCCTCCTAACATAATCATCCACATTGCCAATTAACTCTGAAAAATCTCTCTCCTCCAACCCAGCCCCCAACACCTCCTTACCCCTTTCGTTATTATCACTCTTCTCAAATCTCATCTCCTTAGCTTTACTAATTCCTTCACTACCCCATATCTTCTTTGACAAATCAAACCACTTTTTATCATGCGGTTTGCTAAATGTCTTATTTTCCCCTTTCTTGCCTTTAACCTGATTCTCAAATTTCTTCTTCGACCTCCAAATCTTATCCTTCAGCTGAGTGATGGACACATCAAAATGTAAAGAGTTTCTAATATAATTAAAAAACTCCTTGATATCCTTTGATGGAGTATAATTTTTCTCTGCTGTAAAATCAATTATACCTGACAGCAGAGCGATTTCATCTTCCTCCGTCCACAGCCTTTGAAACAACTTCTTTGTAGAATCCCCAGACTTCTCAGGCTCGCGATCGGCTCCTTTACCCCTCTTCCCGGCTGCTGATTTCTTTTGAGTGGCAGCCGCAGCCGATTCAGATTTTTGGGTGGTAGGTTTCGATTTTTTGGGGGTTGGCTTTTGGATTCGAGGGGTTTTGGATTGAGGTTGAGGAGGAGAGGATGGACTTGGTTCATCATCAGAATCCTCTACTTCTTCACTACTGGATGTCTCTTCCTCTTCTTCTTTAGAGCTAGAAGCAGGTGGATTTTGAACGGGAGCGGGGCGTTTTGGTGCCATTGAGAAACAGAGACAGTTAGTGTTTCGAAAGAGAGTTCGGTAAGCAACGGCAGGGAGGCTCTTTCAGGGTAAACAGAAAGTCGCCCTAAACAAATTTAAATAGAAGACACAAGACGGGAGAATATTATAAATTAGTCCCTGCGTTTTTGAGAAATTAATTAATTAACTCCCCTCACAACGGCAGTTAGTGTTTCTTGGAAGTATGCCATGCATTGATTTTTTTTATTTTTTAATAATTTTTTATTAAAAACTATTCTTGGGATTATTTTGAAATCGTGGGAGTAATTTATAATTTTAATAGTACAATATACTGTTTCTTCGGAAGACAAATGAACTGTTCCAAGCAGCAGGATGCTGGGAGAAAGAAATTTATAATCTTTGAAGATCTTCTGATTGATTGATTGAAAGAAATTTAATTTTCTTGAAATGTTTTTCTATTGCTTTACGTTGGCTGCACAGGTCTTCTCAGAGCGCAGAGGAGAGGATATTAATCTCCTGCAAAAATGGGGACTTGAAAGATAGGGCGGTGATGAGACTGTTACATAGATTAAGTATATTATTTTTAATTTGTTTTTTCAATAATTATATCAATTTTTATTTTTTGTTTTTTATATTAATTTTTTTGTTCAATTTTTTTTATAATAATGATATACTAATTAATAGAAAAGATTAAATTATTATGTTATTTTTTCTCTTAAATTTTTATTATTATTTAACTATTAATTAAAAAAATAAAATAGTTGACAATCACACATGCCACTTGATTTGTTTTTTTTAATCAATAATTAAATAATAATAATAATTTTAAAGAGAAGAAGATAATATACCCATTTTTATTAACTCGCTAAATCATCGCATCGGATAATGCATTTTAAAAAAATTAATATATTAAAAAAATAAAAATTAATATATTTAATTATAAAATAAATTTAAAATTGATGTATTTATTATGTAGTTTTTTCATTGAGATGATTAATGCATGTTACGTTTTCCGACTTCTAAGAGTCGTGCAATCAATATCCAAATTAATAGGTATTTCGTGATTCTCACTTCGATTGTAAGTAGACAATGCAAGAAAAAGAAATAAAGACTTACCCCTTGTTTGGATATTTCCTCTTGAGAGAAAAGAATAAAGAGGAAAAAAAACTATTTTCTACTTGTTGTTTGAACAAAAGCAGAAATGAAAATAAAAAAAGAAAGTATATTTTCCTTATTTGGATAATTGTAAAAACATGAAGACATATTTGGTTCATTCAAACAATTAAAAATAAAAAAATATAAAGATAAAAATATTTTTATATCTAAAATATTATTTATCTATTTAAATTTTTCTCTATGACGGTAAGTAGATTTTAAGTATAAATAAAATATCCGTAGTATTTTTTAAAAAAATACGAAGAGAGTTTTGTTAAATTTTAAAATTTAAAGGATATTTATAATTTTATAACACCTCAAAAGAGGCCATCATATTTTACTTATTTTGGTTTTATAAAAATTTAACTAAACAAGTCTTTACATATAAAAAAAATACTTAAAATTTACTTATTATCATAGGCATATTAAAAAAATACTATAAATTTTTTATTTTATACTTAAAATTTGTTTATTATCATAGAGATAAATTCGAAACTATAAAAAAATATACATGATTTATTAAAATAATTATTAGTATTTTAAAAAATATATTCTTACACACGTGATTTATTAAAATAAGACATTTGATTTCTTATACATTTTTAATGTCATTAGGAAAAATTAAAAAAAAATCTAAATCAGAATAAAAAAATTAAAGACTTATTTTTTATTGTTCAAAAGTGTAAAATATTTTATAATCAATATTTTCTTATGCACGTTTTTTGGACCCAAACAAGAGCAATTAATGTTTAATTGTTCGAGTATGAAACGTAATTGACAAAAAGTCATTTCAAGAAACGAGAAGAAAGTCGAATAGTTTTCTGTTTTATCAAATGCAATTAATGCAAGGACTTGGGGCTGGAAGCGTTGAAGGAGCACTTCAAGAACTCAAAGTTCCCATGCGAAGATAGACCACTATCTACCAATTGTTTTTTCTCCTCCTCGAGGAGGCAACAGACGAAGCCTCTCCTCATTATTGGCCTCGAGCAACATCAACAGCCCATCAATATTATTCTTGGTCACCCCACCAATTGCACCCACCATGAGATTTGACGGTATAGGTCATGATCTCAAGTGCTATAGCAAGTATCAGCAGAAGTGGCGGCGATGTTGGGTGGCAGCAGGTAGCTTAGTGAGATTGATTCTCTCTCTCTCTCTTTCTTGAAAAATTCTTGTGAGATTTAAAAAGCTTATTTACGATAAAAAATTAATTGATATTTTTAAAAAATTAATATATTTAATTATAAAATAAATTTAAAATTGATGTATTTATTATGTAGTTTTTTCATTGAGATGATTAATATACGTTGCATGTTCCGACTT